CAAAGGAAAAGGAAGTTGCCTAATAATTATGCACACCTGATATAGGGTGTTAATGTCATTAGACCACACCCCTTCTCATTACAGAGATGCACATCACCTAATATGCTTAATTGTTAGTAGGCTTTCGAGTCTATACAGCTTGGAGTAAGACAACATGCATGAAGAGGATGATGTGGACAAAATACTCATTTGCCTAATAATTCTGCACTCCCTGTAATTTCCCTTCTACTGGATGATACAGCGTTACTCCCCCATGGTCTGCAGATGGAGCAGGAGGACTGCCTTCTTTACTGTGTTGGTGGAATATTACTTTCTCCTACTCCCTTGACAAATGCATACTATAATTATAACCCAGTGATCCATACCACTTTGCGAATTTGGAAACAAATAGTTAAGCACTTTAAACTGAAACCATTATCAGTGAGTATGAGTTACAGCTAACCCCTCTTTCCTTCCATCATGTGCAGACAGAGCCTTCAACGTGTGGCAGGAATTGGGAATTCGTAAATTAAAAGACATATTCAAATGTAATTTCAACAATTAATAGATAGATAGATTTGGACTACCGCGCAGCCATTTTTTTAGATATCTTCAACTACGAAATTATATCCGCACACATCTGCCGCAGTTTGAAAGCATGTCGTCTGACACCTTGGATAGATGCCTTAGTGATAGCTGGGGGTCCGAACAGAGAATTTCATTATTCTATAACTCAGTACAGGAGATTAGTATACCTTCAACTTTCTCAATTAAAGAGGAGTGGGAAAAGGAATTTGGGATCCCCCTATCAGAAGACTTTTGGCAGGAGGTGTTACGTAATATAAATACACTTTTTATTAATTCCGTCACTGTTTAATTCAGTATAAAATTGTACATAGGTTACATTATTCAAGGGAAAGACTTCACAAAATGTACCCAGATTACTCTCCTCTGTGAAAAATGTATGATACATTATGGAAATCTGTTACATAGTTTTGCACTCTGTCCAAGGCTTCACGGTTTTTGGTGTGACATTTTTACTTACCTGTCTAATATTCTTAAAAACAAGATTGAGCCAAATCCAACAGTAATTATCTTTGGGATCTCCAAGGAACACAAAGTTTACAACATTCTCAAAAAAGGTTTATATCATATGCATTGATTATCGCAAAGAAATTGATCCTGCAGCTTTGGAAAGGCAAAGAGGTTCCTGTGTTAAAGATGTGGCTTGCAGAACTTACAAATACTCTTCACCTTGAAAAAATAAGATATACCATGAATTGGAAATGTGAAAGACTTTGAACTAATTTGGCACCCTTTACTTGCGTATCTTGGGAAAATATAAATTTTTGGCAGTCGGGGGATAGAGGGGTTTTTTGTTTGTTTGTTTGTTTTTGTTTTTGTTTAGAGAAAAAGGAGGCATAAGTTCTACTAATTTGTAACAACTGTGATACTTGCTTCGAATAAAAGATATATTTCTTATCATTGCCTAACATTATACCAGTATTACTGTGAACGGTATAATATGGTCCCAGCCCTACTATGGTGGGTACAATTTAATTTTTAAATTTTATTTAAATAAACTTAAAATTCCGAGGCGATTTTGAAGTCTTATTTGAGATCAAACATCTTTACAGTAGGTTTGGTGATGCAAAAGACAGTGATAATTAATCTGGCAGGAGTGACTGAGCTCCTGTGTTTTACTTTTTTTTTGTACCTCTACATGTTCAGTTTACATGTTCTGCCAGACACTGTAAAGCCAGAATTGTACCAGACCTGGAACTAAAATGAGCATGGCAGCTAACATGAACCAATCGAAAGAGAACATATTTGAAACTTGCAGTTAGCCGTTACTAATAAAATATCAGTCATGTACATGAAGTGATTGTCACATCTGGGCTGAATATTTTGTATAATTAAGAATTCAGATACATTAGTCTAATCCCCTTAATGTTGCCAATACAAAACAAAGGCAGTAGAATTCTAAGCAGTTTTAAAGATAATACATTTTTTAAAATTTGACCTTGAGGTAGAGGTGCAAAGTAATGTGATATTTATATTTTCCAATATATAATTTATAATTTCGTATGCCGATATAGGTCAATACAAACAACAGCAGATTTTTCACTTATTTCAAGTCAAAATATCTTGTATTAAGTGAAAAAAAATCTGCAATGAAACAAGTGAAAATTATCTAGTTTTTCTATAGTTTCAAGATTCACTGTCTTGAAACAAGTTCATATAGCTTACTGAAATGTTGCTTTGTAGCTGTTTTTGTCTTATTTTAAGTGTAATGAGATATTTTGACTAGAAATAAGACAAACATACTTTGTAAGATTTTGAGTTTTTGCAGTGTAGGATGCCTAATGGGTGCCTCCTGGGTGAGGTGTGTTGGGCATGACCCACTGGGGCGAGGCCCTGGGGCAGACTCAGGACACGCTGGAGAGGTTATATCTTGTGACTGGCCTGGGAATGCCTTGATGTTAATCCAGACAAAGTGGAGGAGGTGGCCGGGGTGGGTGCACGGATATTGTCTCCAAACCATCATAGTAAGTATCACTTTTTGTAAATCTTCCCTTTAACTTTTGCTATCTTTGTGTCACAACAGATACTATTTCATTTGTATTCTGCTGTCTTGCAGCTGCCTCCCTGCAGATCACAATGTTGTTTGGAAACAGTCTGACGTGCTTGAGGACTCCGGCCTGACCGGTTGAATTCTCTCACAGCTGCTCTATTCCCATGTTGTTGCAGTATATGAATGACTAACCTCATATTCTGGATGGATTATCTCAGTTGTTCTCCTGACTGAAGTTTGGTCCATTTACAGCATCTTGCCATGCGATTACATTTGTTCCTAACCATCATGAACCCTCACTTTATCTTTTATCGAGTGGAAAAAGGTTGGCGTTCATCCTCCAGCTTCACTGTGCTAATATTATGCTAACATAGCTATGTTGCTAGCAATCACGTAGCACAGTATGGGAGAACTTTGTGCCATCAGAAACTGGATTTGAATAAGTTAAATTTGAATTTGAATTGCTCAACTTGAATCTGAATTGTAATTTGAATAAATGCTTTTTAAAATCTGAATTAGCCTAGTTTGAAATTCAAAGTTTTGGTCTCAAAATGATCATCACTAAATTGAAATTGAATTTTATATTTTGAAAATTAATTCATTTGCTTTAAACTGTATTTTATCCTTTAAAAATGTAGCTCTCGGATAATTTCAGTTCTACAATTCAATTTGTGTTCCAAAATTCAGTTTTTCGGGACTTCTCATATGGAAAACCTTTACTTGTAACTTGTATGTTTTGGATACTTACTAAAACAATATATGAAAGCAATGAGAAAGTGGCCACTTTCATGAGTAAATCATGTAAGCCCTATATGATTCACTATATGAAGTAAGCCAAATCTTATGCAAGTCTTTTATAAGTTTTTTCTATTTCTTTTGGTTTCAAGAACATTTTATTTTATATATCAAGCAAAATTTATTCAATATAATTCTGTCCTTAAATTTGTGCCACAATTATGATTTGTTCACCATTATACCACAGGATAAACAAATCACATACATAATTCAAAGACATTTTCCCACGATGGAGATTTTCATGTTTAATGCCTCTGGTTTCTAGTCACAGGTTTTTTGTTCCTTTGTTTTATTATTTTGTAGCTGCTCCCAGTTTAGCTCCCTGCCATGCTTTGCTTGTGTTTTGTCTTCCACTGTAAATAAACCCATTCACAGTTACTCAGTCTGCATTTAAGCCCACACTCCTCTCATCTGCCAATAATCATGACAAATAGTTTTTAAGCCTAACGGGATCTTATCTTCACATACCAAAAAGAAGGTTATGTGATCTGCCAGCTGACCTATTATTATCTGTTTACGCATCACATTTAGCCCTACAATTTGACTATTTTTGATCAAAATAGCAATTCTGCATCAGTAATGAACAGTGGTGAGCTACTACAATGAATTCTTTTAACTTCAAATCTTGAACCAGTACCAAGTACAAGCAAAATAAAACTATGAATTCTATTATATAACATCTCTATAACACTAATAAATTCCTCTCTAAATCCAAAGAACTGCAAGATTTTCACTTTTTGTCAAAAAGAATCAAAGGCTTTATGAAAATATAATATAGCATCTTTGTAAAATTAATTAACAATAATCAAGGAGAGTCAATACCAGCCTGATATTATTATGAATTTATCTCCCCTTCAAAAATCCCGACTGTGTGATGGATTATGTTCAAGATGCCTTTTTTCAGCCCCCAACAGGGTTTTATAATCAGTGTTTTAAAAAGTAAGCGCTTTTAACTTGTCAAAAAGTATTTTATCTTTACCAGATTTTGGGATCAGGATGATTGACACTTAGATCATACTTGACATTAACGTTTTATTTTCTATGGATTCGTTCAATGCACCAAATAAAAAGTCCTTAGTTCCTTCCAAAAGAACAGATAGGCGTTAACAGTGAGACCGTCTGTCTCTGGACACTTAAAGGCATTTTCATAAACACTGAATCCGGTCTAAGCTTCAAATCTAAGCTTTCTTTAAGCAAGTCCTCGATACATCGGGTGATATTGTACATCTTGGAAAATAAATAATCTACAGAAAAATATAAGGAGGACAATGTGAAAGCAAAGACTAATTTTTCAATGGAGAAATAGCTACACCTGCGCTGTGTTTAGTGCGGAGAAACGGAGCTCAGAGGGCTGAATGAGCTCGGCTCAGACCGGAAACAGCGCAGACACGAGGCTACTTTAGCATGGTTAGCTAGCTCTGCCATACCGGAAGAGTCCAATCTGTGACTACAAAGTCCACAGTCTGTTAGTCTGGTCTGTTTCTAACCTTCCCTCATACTTTTACTATTAAATCCTCATCATTAAATCTGTATTTCCAACACTGTGTGAATTTCCATGACATCAGAGGCGCGAGCTGCACCTGAGTGTAGCACTTCCGCTCACAGAGGACTGTCTGCGGAGCTGCTGCAGGTTAAACAGAGACTTTCTTACCGTTCACGAGGAGCAGGAACACCACCAGCGTCTTCATCCTCCTTTAAAAACAACTCAAACCGACACAAAGTCCCGTTAAATCCTCTGCTGACCCAACGAACCCACACCTGGACACACCTGCAGCTCCAAACACGCCCACACACAAAGGTTACTTTTTTAACAGGAAGTCTCCGTGTGTCGCAGATATACGTGATTCTGGGTTTAGTAGAGGGAGGCTAACGCTACCAAAAGTAGTATTGGTATTAGACTGATACTAGTGTGACAGGATCAATACTTTGTGTTCTCTGAGTTTACTGTAACCAAGTACTAAACTATAGAATAAAATACCCAAAAGAAATACATAAACAATAATTTCCCATTCATTCCCAGACAGAATTTACAACAACACATTAGAAGCATCGTATCAACGGTGCAAGCAAAACCGCCGTGAGCCGTCATTTGTGAGCCATGGTCAAATTTTCTTGCGCTTCTAAAGCTTTTATGGCAGCGCCTGTTTTTTTCTTTTCAATTAACTTTATTCAACACACAATGTGTATACAACATACAGACAGATGGATGATACAAAGAACAGAACATGAACACACAAAACCAGGGGTAAAAAAAAATATATGAATACACACAAAAATTCACATATATGTATTGTTTTGATAGCCTTGTTGTTGGTGGAGTCTGATATTAATTGTATGTACAATTCCACATCCTTAAGAAAAGGACAGAAATATGGTGTTTTATTAGTAAACTTACATTGATAGATAAAAAATGTAGCTGAAAGTACTAACAAATTTATTATAAAAAAGCATTTATCATTCTTCTTGGGAAACTTAAAGAAACAATAAAAGATTTTCCTTTCGTAAAGAAAACTTCCTTAAAATATGGACAATAACAAACCTGCTAAATTCCTTCCAGAATCTCTGTGTAGAAGAACAGTACCAAAAAAGATGTGTCACAGTTTCTGGATGAGCCCCACAGAAAGTGCAATTAGTATTTATGTCTCTTTTAAGTTTTACCATGTAGTGACTGACGGGCCGCAGACAGCTGACCTGAGCGCATACACGCACCACCACCATTAGATTCTACACTTGTCGCACTGCGTAACTGTGGCTGCGCATCTTTTAGTCGACCAGGCAGATAAACAGAAAGGGGTGAGAGCTATATTTTGAGCCGCACAGAGAGTGGCCAACATATTTTTTCCATTTACCTTTAATAAAGCTGGTCGCGTAGACTCCCCGTGATCGCCAATTACACGAGTAGTTGGGCAATGGAACGGAAGGAACTATTTTTCAAAAGGGCTGAACTTCATCTGGCACATGGACTCCTATGACAAACTGAAGCCATATGGCATCTGTTTCAATGGTAGTATTGATGGTTTCTCGAGAAAAATAATCTGGCTTAATGCGTACACAACAAATATTAATCCGAAAGTGATCGGGGGGTATTACATAGAAGCTGTGCAGCGTTTAAAGTGTTATGGAAAATCTTGAATAAACTGCAACAACCAGGTGAGCGGATCTTTGAAGTGAGGTTTATTAAGAAAAAAAAGAAAACACCAAACAATTTTCTGAGGAAAGACACTGCCCTGAACCATCTTATACCTTCCCAGAACACTCTAAAACAAAGAACATTCCACAGCACATCATATATCTCTATACCTTCAATCCAGCTCATCCTTGCCCCTCTCCCACTCTAAGAAAAGTTACTACCACCCGTTACCTCCCTAAAAACAGGATGTTCTGGAGATCTTCAAGTCTACAGTGCACCCTCTGTGAGGTGTAATAAAACCTGAGGCCCACTTGTGAGAACATTCCACATATATGTATACAAAGAGGTGTCAGGAGTGATTTTGCTATACTAAAGTGATGTAATTAAAATATGTGATCAATACATAAAAATAAAGAAATTTCCAGTACAAAAGGGCTGCCCTAGAGTTGTGAAGGGCGATCTTGGAACTGAAAATGGCCATGTTAGAGGCTTTCAGCGTTTCCTTGTGCCAGTGGCTCCGAATGACACCCTTGAGAGTTACTTGGAGGGAGCAAGTACCGCCAATCAAAGGATTGAATACTGGTGGCGTTTTCGTCGCAGCCAGTGTCTGGAGTTCTGGATATGCTTTTCAGACATCAGAGACAACAGGTACTTTGATGGTGGGTTTCTGGACAAAAACCTCCTTCAGTTTTGTTGCATGGGACTCATCCAGGTGAGTTAATAAATTATATTTGGTTGTGTGTATGGATGCATGCGTGTGTGAGTGAGAGATAAAGCAAACTGAGGAAGTGACAGAGAGGTTGTCACAATCTGGTAGTAGGAACTCAAGAGCAGAGCGGTGTGACGTCTCCAAAAACAGTTTATTTACAGCATCAGTGCACGATATATACAGTGAAGGGAAAATCCAAACTCCAGGGAATCACGGGGAATCTCTCTCACACTCACACACGTTCATATGGCAGGGAGGTCACAGGTCCGGGGAGGAAAGTCTGTAGCAAAAGAAAGGGAAGTCACTCACGAATCACAGGTATACTCAAGCACAGGAGCTGGGAGAATCACTAATGTCTGTAGTACAATCATCTAGCGATCTGTGTTCCAGCCTCAAATAGTGCTCCTAGGTGATGACAGCTGATTGTTGTCAGGTTTGATGACAGTTAGCTCCGCCCAGGCAGAGAGGGAGAGAGAGAGAAAACCAAACAACACATGTAGCCATGTGAGGCCGGCTGGGCAGGCACGGAGACCATGACAGAGGTAGTACACAAAGTATTGTGAGAGATGAGATCTGTGCCAGGTTTAGGGGATGGAGAGACTTGCAGGTAGCGATGGGTCCAGCAACACGGACGCACCGATGCTTGTATCAAGCTCACAGAGCGAAGCCTGTATCGGTGCGTGCGTCGCTTTAAGAAAAAGTCACGTGATCGATACAGCTGCTGCATCGCTCATTGCCGACGCGCCAAACTGTGTTTAAAAGGTACCGCATCCGCATCTGCCAACGGAATGAGGTCTCCAAAGAAACCACACAAAATTACTCTCGCAAAGATAAAAAAATACACATCTCTCCATAACAAAATGGAGCTTGAAAGAAAAACAGAAATGTTTCTGCTGTGTGGGATCATTTTTATCTTTTAACTGCAAATAGTTTGTCTGTCTTTGTTTCAGTGTAATCTGTCAGAACAGGAAAAACAGCAATGTGACTTGCAGTGTAAATTATTTATTTCATTTTATGCAGGTTAAATGTCGCATCTGTTCTGTGGAGCTTTCTTACACAAACACAAGCACAAGCACCACCTCAGTGTTTCGGCATTACAGAGACAAACATGAAAATGAGGGGACAAACACACCAAGAATGAACACAGGTAGACCTATATAGACACTGAACATCTTTATCATATTTTTTTTTTATTAATATGCGTTTTATTGTTTTGAAATCAAGCATCTAGGAAGACTATTCTGGACCAGGCAGTCCTGAATCTTATTATAAAGGACTGCCAACCCCTTAGTATTGTGGAGAGAGAGAGAGAAACGGAGAGAAACATTCCAAGATCAGAGGATCCTTTAGCGTACTGGGTGGAAAGGAAGACATCTTATCAGAACCTTTTCCACCTGGCTTTACAGTTTTTGTGTACCCCAGCTTCATCTGTGCCTGTGAATTTTCCAAAGCTGGGGAAATGGTGTCAAAAAAACAAAACAAAAAAAAAAACGCAATAGACTGAATGCAAAAACAGTGGATAAACTTATTTTTCTGAATAGAAATTTATAATAAACTCTGAGTCAATTACATTTAAATGGGTAATATTATATTCACAATACTTTCATTTTAATTTTCACTTAATGTCATTCACAATATATTTTAAAGATTTCTACAATATTTGAAATGTAAAAGATAAAATGATTCCATGAAAAGTACAATACCTTACAGTGTACAAGTATGACTAGGTCATTGAATCAGTGTCTGTTGTGAGTCTCAAGTAAGTTGTCTGTAATGATATTTAAGGTCCAGCAGGTGTCAGTATGGAGCAAAACAGCAACACTGTGTCGACACAGTATCGATACAGTTTGGGGAATGAGCTGAAACGCTTCACGAGGCCTCAGCTACTCATCACTACTTGCAGGAAGAAAGACACAAGACAGGGAGAAGAGGTTAAGAGGAGCAGGGAGTAATTGAAATGAAAATTGTGTAAATGTCACAGTCCGGCTGAGGCAGACTGTATGTGTTTGCAAGAGAGGACTCAAACGCAGACCAAAAACTGAACGTGAGGTGGATTTAACAAAAAACAAGCCGTTTATTGAGGCTAGGAAAAAGGTGCAAGCAAAGGGCAAAGGTGAAACTTAGTGATGGCTCGCTTGAAGCTGAAGCTCCAGTGCGTGTGTCAAAAAAATCAACACACTGCTTCAGAAGCACTGTGTCGAAGCTTGATTGGTTTGGCCAGAGTCACGTGATCAGTGACGTCCGAAGCTTCATTTAGAACCTAACTGCTTTGGTGTCTGATTCAATGGTTTATAAGCAGGTGAATCATTCGCGGGATTTGTGGAGTGTTTTGATGGTGACAGATAGCGAACCACTGATATTTCTACTGAAAGATTTGGAGCCAGCGAGGAATAGAGGAACTTCTGTTGTGTGGGAGTATTTTTAGTTGATTTTGGTCAATCGGGTGGGTTTTCCAGCTTTGTGTTCTGGCCGTTTGCTTTTGTTTTGTGCGTGTTTATTTTATCTGAAAACGGGAAAAAGGTAAAATGTCAAAAATCTGCTTCCATAATATAAATATCATTAAATAACTTTAGAAAAACTTCCACTTGACTCTTTACATGTAATGTTGTAAAAATATATATTTTATTGTTTAATTAATCTGAAAATGTTAGTCTGCCAAATGTGCAGCAATTGAATTTCTTTATTCTCTTCAGCTGATAGTTGGTGGGGCCCATGTAGACTGTATAACTGCATCTCTACCAGTTTCTCTGCACTCCAGCCTCCTCTGTGCCATGTGAAGGGATTTTCCTTAAGGCAGGAGAAATTATCTCCACGAAAAGGAACAGGTTCAGCCATCGCACACTACAAAT